TTATTCAAAGTAGGTGACCCTGGAGAACATTGTGCTGAATGAAATATCTTAGTCACAAAAGGACAAATACTGCATAGTGCCACTGTTGTAAAACGGACTGATACTGGGGTTTGGGGAAGACTGAGAAAGATGGGATAAATTATACTGCATTGAAACAGATGAGCGAGAAGACTGTTTAAAAGGGATATATGATTAAGTATTATTGTCATCACATGAGTCCAGAGTGAAGGCTGCATAGTGGAGTGGACTTGGGGGGAGGGATTTTATAACAATGAAAGAATTTTTCTTTTACTCTTTAAAGAAAAGAGTGAACTGCAAGGGAGGTTGGGCAGGGAGAAAAGTGCAACAATGAATGAATGGAAATCCAAAATCTCAGTAAATTTTAATTAACGTTAATAATTAAAAAGTACAAATCTGAGGACTTCAGGCCTAGAACCAATATCTAGTGGTTGATGAATGTCTAGAGGTCCTTTTTATACATATTTAATTTTGAGAACCAGTCTTCCAGAACATATTCTCCTCTGTTAAGATACAGAATTATTTTTCTAGGATGCATGTAAATTGTTTAGCAGTTGCTCTCCCTGATGTTTCTCAATTATGTTTCCACTTCTCAGGAAGCCTACGGTATTCTAAACAGATTTGAAGTTGAAGTAACCAAAGAGGAATCAGAAGCAGTTGATACTTTGAGATATTCTTTCAACAAATTGCAAAGCAAAGCTGTAAGTAAAAATTCAGTTACTGTATCTTTCATGTCATACTTTTTTAGGCCTAATGCTTATAATTTATAACCATTTATTGACATTTAACTCACATAAGGCCCCAGGAATAGATGTTATACCAAATGACATATTTCAGCTAACAGATGCTGCCCTGGACGTGTTCACCAAGTTGTGTCAAGAAATCTGGAGAACAATATATTTGTTCCCATTCCAAAGAAAGGTGACCCAACAGAATGTGGAAACTATAGAACAATATCATTGATTTCACATGCAAGCAAGATTCTGCTTAAGATTATCCAAAAACAACTGGAACAGCACATCAGCAGAGAACTGCCAGAAGTGCAGGCTGGGCTTAGAAGGGGT